GACACTGATGAAAAAAATTAAAGATGATACAAACAGACAGAGAGATATACCATGTTCTTGGATTGGAAGAATCAACATTGTGACAATGACTGTGCTACCCAAAGCAATCTATAGATTCAGTGCAATCCCTATCAAACTACCAATGGCATTTTTCACAGAAATAGAACAAAAAATTTCACAATTTGTATGGAAACACAAAAGACCCCGAATAGCAAAAGCAGTCTTGAGAAAGAAAAACAGAGCTGGAGGAATCAGGCTCCTGGACTTCAGGCTATACTACAAAGCTACAGTGATCAAGACAGCATGGTACTGGCACAAAAACAGAAATATAGATCAATGGAACAGGACAGAAAGCTCAGAGATAAACCCACGCACATATGGTCACCTTATTTTTGATATAGGAGGCAAGAATATACAATGGAGAAAAGACAGCCTCTTCAATAAGTGGTGCTGGGAAAACTGGACAACTACATGTAAAAGAATGAAATTAGAGGGGCTTCCCTGGTGGCGCAGTGGTTGGGAGTCCTCCTACCAACGCAGGGGACACGGGTTTGTGCCTTGGTCCAGGAAGATCCCACATGCCATGCAGTAACTAAGCCAGTGTGCCGCAACTACTGAGCCTGTGCTCTAGAGCCTGTGAGCCGCAACTACTGAAGCCCACGTGCGTAGCGCCCGTGCTCTGCAACAAGAAGCTACTGCAATGAGAAGCCCACACACCGCAACGAAGAGTAGCCCCTGCTCACTGCAACTTGAGAAAGCATGGATTAAAGACCTAAATGTAAGGCCAGAAACTATCAAACTCTTAGAGGAAAACATAGGCAGAACACTCTGTGACATAAATCACAACAAGGTCCTTTTTGATCCACCTCCTAGAGAAATGGGAATTAAAAAATAAATGGGACCTAATGAAAATTAAAAGCTTTTTCACAGCAAAGGAAACCATAAACAAGATGAAAGACAGCCCTCAGAATGGGAAAAAATATTTGCAAATGAAGCAACTGGCAAAGGATTAATCTCCGAAATTTACAAGCAGCTCATGCAGCTCAATATCAAAAAAACAAAGAACCCAATCCAAACATGGACAGAAGACCTAATTAGATATTTCTCCAAAGAAGATGTACAGATTGCCAACAAACACATGAAAGAATGCTCAACATCACTAATCATTAGAGAAATGCAAATCAAAACTACAATGAGGTATCACCTCACACCAGTCAGAATGGCCATCATCAAAAAATTTACAAACAGTAAATGCTGGAGTGGTTGTGGAGAAAAGGGAACCTTCTTGCACTGTTGGTGGGAATGTAAATTGATACAGCCACTTTGGAGAACAGTATGGAGGTTCCTTCAAAAACTAAAAAGACAAATACCATAAGACCCAGTAATCCCACTACTAGACATATACCCTGAGAAAACCATAATTCAAAAAGAGTCATATACCCCAATGTTTATTGCAGCTCTATTTACAACAGCCAGGACATGGAAGCAACCTAAGTGTCTATTGACAGATGAATGGATAAATAAGATGTGGCACATATATACAATGGAATTTTACTCAGCCATAAAAGGAAACGAAATTGAGTTATTTGTAGTGAGGTGGATGGACCTAGAGTCTGTCATACAGAGTGAACTAAGAAAGAGAAAAACATATACCGTATGCTAACACACATATATGGAATCTAAGTATATGGAATCTAAAAATATATATATATATATGGTTCTGAAGAACCTAGGGGCAGGACAGGAATAAAGACACAGATGTAGAGAATGGACTTGAGGACACGGGGGTGGGGGAAGGGTAAACTGGGACGAAGTGAGAGAGTGACGTGGACATATATACACTACCAAATGTAAAATAGATAGCTAGTGGGAAGCAGCTGCATAGCACAGGGAGATCAGCTCGGTGCTTTGTGGCCACCTAGAGGGCTGGGATAGGGAGGGTGAGAGGGAGTCGCAAGAGGGAGGAGATATGGGAACATATGTATATGTATAGCTGATTCACTTCGTTATAAAGCAGAAACTAACACACCATTGTAAAGCAATTTTACTCCAATAAAGATGTTAAAAAAAAAGAACATTGTCTTTTCCTATATAAAATAAAAAGATTACCTTTTTAATTAGTTTGAGATAGGGTGGCCAACTGTCCTGGTTTACCTGGACTGTGGAGTTTCCCAGGATGCGGAACTTTTCAGTGTTACAACCTGGACAATCCTGGACAAATTGGGACAATTGGTCATCTTAGTTTGAGGTTAAAGAAATCAGCTTCTTTTTTGTTGTAAGTTTTTGTCTAACATTTGAACTATTTCTGGACATTGGTGAAGAAAAAAAATGCTAAGATTATTTGAACATGAATTCCCTTGAGTGCTTCTGGTGAACTGGATCAATAGATAATTATATACCTTTTTCACTTTGGCATAATTTCAGATTTACAACAAAGTTGCAAGAATGAACAAGGAATTCCTGAATACCTTTCACCCAGATTTCCCATTTTACTACATTTGCTTTCTCCCTCTCCTTTTCTCTCTTCCTCTATTTTTAATCTGTGTGTGTGTCTATTTATATATAACATATAATTATTTTTGAGAGTAAGTTGCACACAATGCTGCTTTAACCTTAAATAGTTGAGTGTGTATTTTTTGCAAACAAAGATTTATCTTACATAATCACAATAAGATTATCGATGCTACACATACAATACTGTTATCTAATCTCTAGATTTTATTGAGATTTTTGTCAGTTTTTCCTGTATTGGTCTTTATAGCAAAAGAAAATCCAAGATCATGCATTGGATTTCATTGTAATGTCTTTCTAGTCTACTTTAATCTGAAACAGTTCCTGAGTCTTTGTATCTCATAGCATTGATATTTCTAAAAATTACAGACCAGTTATTTTGTAGAATGTCCCTCATTTTGAATTTGTCTGCTGTTTCCTTATGATTCCTACTTTTGATAGGAATATCACTGAAGTGATGCTAAGTGCATCATATCAAGAATCATATGCTGCTGATTATTTCCATAACTGGCAATGTTAACTTTGCTTATTTGGTTAAGGTGGCGTCTACCAGGTTTTCCCACTGTAAAATTACTATTTTACCTTTTGTAATTTGAAAAGTATCTTGTCTATCCCACCATACTGCTAGAATCAGAAGTCAGCTTAAAAAAAACATCACTCAACATCATATCAAAAGTATTTCCAAATACTATTTGTAAGCATTGTTTTAATAACTATGGAGGTGCTTAACTGTTTTCTGAGGGTTAGACATTTAGGTTATTTCCAGTCTTTTATTGTTATTTTAAAAGATAGTGCTGCTATAAACACATTTTTATATAAAGTTTTTATGTGTTCAGGGTTATTTTCTAAGATAAATTCTCAATGTAGCATTACCAGGACCAAGGGAATATTTTTAAGGTTGTTGATATACTTTGTAAAAGTGCTTTTCAAAAGAATTGTACCAATTTACATTTCCACCAATAAAAAAATGAGATTGCTCTACTTTTTTAAAAGGTATTGTCTTTGGGGATATACTTTGAGACTCATTATCTACGGGGTTTAGCATGCATTGATGAATCTAGCCAGAATAAATTGTTACTGTGACTGTTGACAAATGGTGATTTTCTAATCATCATTCCTTAGTTGGCTTTCCGCTGTAGGTGGAAAAAGCCAATATTCCCTTGGTCTTCCACTGTAGCTGTTCCTTCCCCCTTCTCTAGTTGTTTATATCAATGTAGACTCTTGGCTTCTTATTTTATTCAGTAAACTTGAATTCTTACTATTATTTGTTTGCAATGCTCATATTGTCCCTGATTTGGCTAGTAGGAGTTTCCTCAGACTGGCTTTTGTGTCCTTCAGGCATGTCCCTATCATTCTTTGAGGACTTCCTTACTTTTTAGCGTAATAAGGTGTCCAAGGCTCATCTTGTTCTTTCTCTGCCCTACCTCTGGAATCAGACATTTTTCTGAGGAGCACTGGTTCCTTTTAGTGGAGATCAATATTACAGTCCAGGATCTGGACACTGGATTTGCTCCTTGCTACTGGAGTGCCATTGCTTCTAGGCCTTATCAAGTAACAGAGTTGAGGAATTAAAAATAATAATAATATATATATATATAATATATATAGTATGTGTATGTGTGTGTGTGTATATATATATATATATATACGCATGCATGCACATATGTATATAGACACATCTACACATTTATATTCATTTTTATATTTTAGCTATCAAGATGTATTAAAACTCATGAGTTCACACTGATATCTCCTTAAATTTCAGTCTAACGCTTCTACTTGCAATACAACATTCTTTTTCTCTTTCCGTATTTCATACAAAGCCTGGCTCTCATTTTCCACAATAATATTGTATTTATTTGTTCAATCCTAAGATGTACAAAGAGTTTAAGAATTGCTAATCGATGCCTCTGCAAAGCCAGACTTTAATATTTGTTAACAGTTTTTTTTGTTGTTTTAGCCTAAGGGCATATAGTCCAAATGCTGTGATCAAAAGTTTCTTGGGTTAGTTCTTTTTTCCTTCCCCCTTCTGTGGATTATTTTATTCACTTAAAATAAAAGTATTATTTGTTCCTATTTGTATTCAGTTTGGAGATGTTTTCTGTCCTTGTGGATTTTTATTTATTTTCTTTTTTTCTTTGAGTATGTGAAACATTGATATGTTTCCAACAATCAAATCTGTGCAAAAAAAGGCATATTCAAAGGAGTGTGATTTTTTTTTTCCCCACATTGTCTTTGTCCTTTCCACCCAGTTCTCCCCTTATTCTGTAGGTAACCAATCTCATTAGTTTCTGGATTTTCCTTCCTGTTATATCTTTTGCCCAAATAAGTACAAGTGTATATATTCTTATTTCCCCTTCTTTCTTACCCAAAAGATGTAATACTATAGATATTCTTTTGTACTTTGCTAAGCATAGAATTTTAAAGCTGAATCAGACCTTTTTCTTTTCTTTCTAAGGTTTTTCTTTTCTCATTTTTTTGTCTTTTAGACATTGGATCAACAACAGTTCTTCACAGAGGAAGAACTGAAGGAATATGAAAACCTTATCTCCATACAAGAAACTGAACTTAAGAAAAAGGCAGATGAGCTTCAGAAACAAAAAGAAGAGCTACAACGTCAGCATGACCAACTTGAGGCTCAGAAGCTGGAATACCATCAGGTGATATTTTGTAAAAAGGCTTGTGGCATTAAAAAGGATTTTAGGGGCTTTGCTACAAGCCTGTGTATTTGTAATATATTTCAATTAGCTGTCGTATTTTAAATTTTAGTATTTTTTAAACTGCATATTTTTTAAACTTCCTTATTGAATATTAATCTAAATTATAGAACGTGAATATCCCATTTTGGAAAACAATTTTCAGTTTGTCGTGCATTGTCAATGGCCATACATATCAGAGAAAATCAAATAACGCTTACTTTTAAGGCATTCTTTTTCCGTTCACTAGGTTTTACGGCAGATGGAACAAAAAAAATTACAACAAGAAATTTCCCCATCAGTGCCTGGTGGAGAATCAAAGATCCAGCCACGTATGTAATTTTGTTTATTTGTTTGTTTGTTTGAGGAAATTAAAAAATTGAATAAATAGAAATTCACATTTATTACAAATATAATTTCAAATCATTAATATCTGTGCTATTTTCTGTTTATTTGTGGAAATAGAGCAATTTGTTACAGAAAAATGAAAAAGCCTCTAAAATTTGTATATATCAGTACATTTCAAAAGCTATATAATTTGATAGTCATATGCATGGTGAAATGATTTTTTTTCAGTATTATTCATAATTCTTCCTAATCAGTTATAATCAGTTAATATCTGTGATATTATCACAGAACATGTTTTTTAATTGTAATCGGTGATTAACTAAACATAGTTAAAAAGCAAATACTCAATATATCTAAGTATAAAAGAATATTCAGAATATAGGAGGATACCTTTAAAATGAGGGCATATTTTTTTCTTTTTGAACAGGCATTTAAAGTCCAAAGTCCACCAGAACTTAGAATAAAATTGTTACATCATCATGTGTGTCATCTTTTTACCTCCCTTCCATTTCCTCTGCTCAGTAAATATTTTAAAGCATATATGGAATAAAGGAAGATACTTTTTAAATGAGAACGTATTTTTTTTTTTTTTTTGGACACAGATGTTTAAGGATTGAAGTCTACCAGAACCAGGAAGGAAACAAACTCAATACCTGCTCTCATTTTCATACCTCTTTTCTTTTTCCTTTGTTCTCCTTTAGTGATTTAATTAAGTGGCTTTGTGCCATAATTTAATGAAACTATCAGTAACTATTTAAGTGAGAAAGCGCCACCCACTGCTTTTAAAATAAATTGTTTTCTCTTATTCATAAAGGTAAATACTCTTTTATGGGTGCTTATCATCCCCTCTCTCAATAAAAGCTCTTTAATATTAATAATTCTTCTCCTGAGAAGAGCATAGTATTCCTCAGTGTGTGTAACTTTTTCCTACTTTCAGCAATCTTAACTGCTAGAAATTCTTCTACCAAACAGCTCTTGCTACCACTTAAGTTCATTTTTCATTTACATTTTTGCTTTATACTCTATCATTCAAGATCAGGTTTTGCTACATATAACAGAAAACCCAAAGATAATGGTGGTTTAAACTGAATAAGAACTTTTGCCTTTTTCATAGATGAAATCTGGAAGTAGGTGGTGTAGTTTCCTATCTTTCTCCTCTGCTTTCCCCAGCGCATAGTTTTTATTCTCGAGTTATTTCATTCTCAGGGTCCAAGATGGCTCTTGGAGGCAGTGGGGAATGTCCCCCAGTTGAATCAGCTTCCTTGATGCAATTTTCCCAGAGAACCACATAGCATTTGAATTTACATCTCATTGGCCAGAGCTGTGTCACATGGCCATCTAGCTGCTAGGGAAGCTGAGAAATCCATGTGGCAATGGGACCGGCTAAAAGTTAGGATTCTTTTAGGAAGGATTCCCTTTAAGAAGGGAAGAGGGAATGTTGGGTAGGCAACTTACAGCTTTAATTTAAACAGCCTTTTGGTTACCTAAATATCTATGTACATTCTTCCGAAACAGAAAACGCTCACTTCCCCCACCTCAAAAGGAAACCACCAAAACCCAATCTATTATTGCATGTAGTTCAAAGCCCATGACATCTGAGTATAGTCCCCTCCATCAGGTTAGGATGTGGTTTTTTTTATGTTCTGGTCATCTGCAAACTAAAAAGCAACATGTCTGCCCCCTGAGCACCATATGCATAATGGGATAGATACAGGATAACTGCAATAAAATCAACCTTTTAGAAAAGGGGAAAACAGGAAACATAGCAATCATCTTTCCATAACAATTAAAAAAATACTGCTTGGCAAAAATAGCAAGGTCTCTGCTCTGTCCATGAATATATTATTTGGTTTTTCTATTAGGCAACCCCTGCTTCACCTTTCTGGGAGGAACTCCCTTGTCTAATGTCCTCAGGGGCCCTTGGCATTGCCCTCTAGGATGTTTTTATTGCCCATTAACCTTCAAGGACACAAGTGGGCATTGGGAAGTGTCCTCTTCTCGAAGGCTGGACAGTCTTCGCACTTCACTTCCTGTTATTGTGGGTTTGGGGCCTTGGGATTGTTTCAGATAGTTACAGACCGTTTCAGGCCAGGTTTAGGGTTTTTATTTGTTTTTGTTTTGTTTTGCTTTTTGGCAAAACAGTTCCCTAAAAAGTTGTAAGTTTCTGGTCTGTTTTCTTCAGTTATTACCACAAGAAACCACAAAGATCTTGTCAAGACATATTTAACAAAGAGCCTCATCTTTTACTTGCTGGCCTCTGTGTTCTTTTCTCCCGTTGGGTCTTAAATGAATGGTACCCACTTGGGATTGTTTTAAACTCTAGGCTTGGATGGGATAACAGCAGTCTTAATCTGATCTTTTTCCTTAGGATGGCTCCCATTATTTGGCAGAAAATTCTTAAGGGAAGGTTCTTGGAAAGGTTGTGAAAGCTTTAGCAGCTTCCTCAGAACCTTTACTTATAACTGTCTCAGTTTGGAGTACGGTAGTACAGTAGTTGACTTTTTCAATTCTTCAGGGCTCCAGATTTGGCACTTTATCAATTTATTTGGTAGATAGAGAGCAGTTCTCTCGGCAAAGCTATATTGCCTTCCATCTCTGCAGACTTGCTTACCTTAGCTGGAGCCACATCTCTCCTGTAGGACTTTTCTGAAAGAGGCAAGGCGCAGCCCACACATGCTAGCATTCTGAAATTCTACCACCATTTTCTCTGATACCTTAACCTCAGTTGGCATGAAGTATCACTGCCCCAAACCCTACCTTCTTAACTAAGCCAATTCCATTTTTCAGATCCTTTTACTTGCTGCACCTTCTAGCTACCAAATTCTGTATAGGTTAAGATTCTTCACTGTAAGTAATAGAATCATCTTCAGCTACTAAACAGAATGGGATTGATGCGGGGGGGAACAGTATAGATAGATAGCTCACAGAATCTTTGGGAGGGCTGAAAGAACGGAACTTAGGCTGAGCTTCTAGGAACTGCATATTGAGACTGGGCTGCCAAAGAAGCTGCTGCTTTTGGAACAATCAAGAAGCTGCCTGCTAAATCAGGAAGCCACCTGCCAGATTAGGAAGTCATGAAGTTGCCAGCTCCAGAACCACACCACCTCTGCCTTGCTTTGTGTCAGCAAAAATGGATATTTCATGTTCTGCTTCTCTCCCCATGTAATTCAGTTCTGAGTAAAAGTTTCAAGTGAGTACATCTGATTGTTTGGACCAATCATATCTGGAACCCTAGCTGCAAGGGAGGTTGGGAAATAATATTTAATTTCCTACCCCTGTAGTACAGGAATGCATGTTTAAAGCTGTTGAGTGAACAAATCCACTGTAATACCTCAAAAATTTACATTGTTTCTTTTAACATTAATAATTTTTAAAACTCTTAGTTCTCATTTTACAAATTTTAAAATAATCATTGCATACTCCTCCAAACACTTCAGATTATTTTCCTAAAATCATGGACCCCAAAATTAAATATAGCAAATCAAGAAAAGTTCTGCTTATATGTAGCTTAAAAAAACCCACAGAGGGCTTCCCTGGTGGCGCAGTGGTTGCGAGCCCGACTGCCGAGGCAGGGGACGCTGGTTCGTGCCCCGGTCCGGGAAGATCCCACATGCCGTGGAGCGGCTGGGCCCGTGGGCCATGGCCGCTGAGCCTGTGCGTCCGGAGCCTGTGCTCCGCAGCGGGAGAGGCCACAGCAGTGGGAGGCCCGCGTACAGCAAAAAAAAAAAAAAAAAAAAAACCCACAGAAATCACTCAGCAGAGTAATGCTATGTTTCTTTAGAGATAGAGAAGAATTCCTATCTCTGTTGTTTAAATTGTAGCAAATATTTTTAAATGATCTGGGATATCCTTTTGTTGATGACTCTATCTGTAAGCGGTATTGTGATAAGACAGGGATTCACCTAGGATACTTTTTTTTAGATGGTGGACTGGGGTCAAATCAGAAAGTAATTTGAGACAATAATATTGTACTTTTATGACATGTGACAAATATCAATACAACAGCGGTCATATTATAATATATTAAATATATCAAAGTAACACATCTTGCACCTTAAATTTACACAGTGGTATATGTCAAATATATTCAAGTAAAAAAATAGTAATTGGAGGAGAACTTAGAGAAATTTTTTAAAATGCTCTTTTGGCATATGAGTAGATAACGGACAGATATTAATGTAGGCATACCTCACAGTTTCCAGCAAACTATTAATTTATCTTATTAAAAAAAGAATTGTTGGCCTAAGATTATTTATGGACATAAGGAATCCCAGTTCTTATGAGTATCGGGCATTTATGAGTAAAGATTGTTTCTTAAAGAGTTGCTAATAGTATTTTTTCCAGCTCTGTTAGAAAGTATTCATCCTGTGTTTGATTTACCCCATTCTTCTTCATATTCTTAGATATTAAGAAGTCTTTGGTTTAGTTGACTCAGTGGTATGTATAAATAATTTGGAACTTTGTTTCACATATGAATTTTCATGAAGCATGTACATTTTATAGTAAACTTAGATATATATAATTAAAATTATATTTTAAAAGACATTGGTCCTCTAGAATATTTGACTCTCACTAAAGGAAACTGCAATTTAGAAGCAGTGGTAAAAAATCCTTTGAGATATGGCTCTACTTTTTTTTTTAACCAAGATTTGTTTACAATGGCATTTTTTTCATGCTAATTGAACAGATTCGTACTACCATAAGCCTAAATGCAAATCTGTTTTTCCCATGAGGAAAAATATAAAGGAAATTTTAATATTTGTGATAATGTGACTTTTAAGATAGTCTAGCTAATAAAAGAGGGGGTAAGAAATGTATTTCCTTTAGGGAGAAATATTGACAAGTCTAGTTCTGGTTAGTGCCTAAAGTTTAATTTTTGTTTTATAGCTGTGCAGTAAATCGAGAAGAAATTGATAAAGAGGCAGAGTTAGATGATGACCTTCATCATTTTCATGCAAGATTTTTGGCGCCTGAAAAAGCTGCTAGAGAAGATCATCTTTACCCTTAACCACTGGTGTCTCAACTTGATACTTGAATAATTCATTTGTTTTTTGTTGGAATTGAGAAACTAAGGTGTATTAGGTAAAATGCAGAGTTCCTATGGGTGATACAATGGAAGACTCTAATTACAGCTTGTTTTCAAGGTATGAGATTTGAAGGAAATTGGATCTTTTCCTTGCTTTTTGTTTTTTTTAACAGTATCATTAGCAGGATTTCAGTCTTTCC